TGGTGGAAATTCAGCCCACATTTCTCATGGGAGGAAAGACATAGGATGAAATTGCAAGATGGTAGAAATATCTGCTAATTCTCTCCTCAGCTTTCACCACGGCAATGGAGGCAGAAGAGAAGCGAAGCTTATCACTCAAGCTGAGCTGAAGTGTTTTTGTTTTCACACAAAACCTCCCACAATGTCAATATAACTTCTATGAACACTGGATCTAATGAAGTCTGGTTTCCTAAGGACTTCTGTCTCATGGCTGACTGACTTGGAAGTTTAATAAGATCCAAGCACCAAATGAAGCTTTTCCTGTGAATGGAGTGTTTATTAGATCCCAAGTGGAATCTCTGGAGTTTAATAAAAGAAAGTTCATGCTGCAACATTTCCTTTTGAAGGGGCGCTTTAGGTCTCTCTCCTCCAACTGGATAAATATTTTTTATGGAGTGTGTAGGAATTTAATTGCTGCGAAGGCTGGTGTTCCTCTACAAATTTGTTTGAAATTGGCCCAAGATTTTGATTTACTGTGAGGAAAAGAATACTGACAGACAGACAGACATACCCACACAATGTGCTCTCATTTGCTACCAATTACCAGGCTAAAAAATTTCTGTATACCCTAGGGATGCTGCAAACACTATGAAAGTGTACACATTTGAGAAAAAGAGCAACCTAGAGATGTCTCTGATCTAGACCACGATCAAGCCCAAATTCTTCAGGCAGTGAAACAGAATGACGATCTCTTTTTCTTCTTTCACCCTCCATCCCAGTCTCCTGCCTTAGCACTCATGTTGCGGCTTGTGGCCAGGAGGCCTTGCCACAGGTCCTGCTGTGGGTTGGTCCCCCCAGCCAGCCCATCGCTGGTGCAAGTTTGGAGAGAAGTTAGCAGTACAGTGATCTGAGAAGTCAGGAGAAGTATTTCAGGCCAAAGCTTATGTCCCTGATTCAGAGTATCTACAACAGTCTTCCTATCCAAAGGTTATGGGGAAGGTAGGAGATGTAGCAGGTAATTCCATTCTCTTCAGCTGGGCTTCAAGTTGACAGAAAAAGATATTCAGTAGACTGTATGGCTGGGAGATCAGTTAGCTCAATCCAAGGCGTCTCCAAGTATGAGGTTCAACATGGGTTTATAATTCATTTAATTAACCTACAACAAAACAGCTTCCAAAGAAGAAATGAAGACTGGGAGCCAGACCTGGAAGAAGCCAAAGACCGAGCAGCAAGAGCACTCATCTAAAACGTCCAGCATTCAGATTCTGGGTGCTGTAGATTAGTGAGGTCAATATAAATCACAGAACAAATAAAGACCAACACCACCTTTTGATATTCTTGAAAAATGTTTTGCCTTTAAAATTTAGCTCTTGTTCATGTTCTAGTGTTCAGGGTTTCAGAAGCAGCAGTTTCAAAAATTATGACCAGCTCTGTCAGAATGAAAGATACTGGAATAACTGATTTTAATATAGGTGTCTGCTAAAATCCTGGCACCAGTGGTGAGTGTTGAGTATATACACACATATGTTAATAAACCTAGCTCTGAAGAGCCATTTTCTTTAGATTTGCTCCTTATTGACTAATTGAAAAACACTAAAATCATCTGTGCTGAGAAGAAAAGTCATCCAAGCTTTGTACATGCTGAAATAGTACCAAGAACACTGGCATGCCACATAAACACCTCAACCAAATGTCCTTTTCCTTCTCAATTCAGATTAATATCCTCACAGTGAAGTATGGGATCAAAGTAATTAGTCAGAGCTTGGTGGTTTATTTGCCACAACATATCATCTTTTCAACCCCAGCTGTCCTTCCCTCCCCCTGTTATGAATGCAGAATACTATGCTTAAGAATGAGAAGGTGGCGCATAACAAACACAGAATGATTAATAAGAAGTGTTTCCATCAAAACTGATATTGGAATAAATGATTAAACCCTTTCATAATCAACTCATTCATTAAAGTGAATGCCTTAAAGTGAAAGCTTGTAATTTATGGCGGGTTTTGCAATGGGCAGTTATCCTACGTGTTTACTTCAAGAGTACATTTTTGTACTTTGGTAAATCAAGAAATATTGATTTTGAGCAAGCTGTTGATTTTATTGTCAGAACAAATTTAGCTTTGAGAATTGATTTTATTAACCTATTTCATAAGTCCCTCTAAACACACAATTTGTGAGCAACCCACATTCTCTTGATGTAAATGCCATTTGTAATTTAGCCAAAAAACAATTTAAGAGGAGATGGGCCAAATTCATTTTTCATTTATGTTTATGCCATTCTGGAATAAACTCGGCAGTCTTGCAAGGATATACAGTTGTTTCTGACTAAGTGAAAATATAATTCCCTTATTTTCGTTGATATAATTTCAGATTAACATGCTTGACTTCAAGGGGATGTGATTATTTCATACAGTTTTCTGGTTATCAGCAACAATTATGGAAGAAGACTATCAAACAAATTTGATACAGTTACTTTTCAGAACATGCATTCTTGGCATTTATTTCGTGTCTGTGTTTTACTGCGTATGTGAAAACCCATAAAAGTATGGATTTTGTGAAAAATTTCAGTAAGTAGATTCACTTAAACCCCCACAAAACAAATCCTCTAGACAAGAAATGCTTCCAAAAGCTGTATGTACATCCATCTGTACTGCAGACTGGCAACAGTGTGACTTCACCTAACAGTGACAGAAAATTATACAGTAAGTATTATATAGACTTAGAAAATGAGACTGGTCACTTTTTAGGGACATTTTAATATGTTTAATTATTTAATAGTAATAATTAAAAAATCATTTATTATGTTGTTTAGAATATTTGCTGGCATGGATTCAGAATTTATCTGAAGATTATCTCAATCTATGTGGCAAGAACATATCTGGATTTCCCAGAATGCTGAAATATTTGCAAAATTTTGAGAAATGTGCACCAATAGTTTCCTGTAGGTGCTGCAGCATGGAAGCACCTGGATTGTTCATGGGGGGGAAAAAAAAAAATAAATTATTTCTGCTTCTATGAAAAGAAGTCCCTACTCCAGCTGAATGCTGATGTCCAGAGAGCAATATGAAGAAGAATTTGCTCTGTGACATGCTTTTTCTTATCTATGATTTTGCAGAAGCCCTTTCTCCATGGCATTGGAACTATGTTGTAGAGTAAGGTAAACTAAACCTGTTTCCAGCAAGTAGCCAACCTACCAAAACCCAGGATTTTAGGGCTATTTAAATCTACTTACAAATTTGGCATATTTGATTTCAGCCCCAAAAGTTTACTTTTTAAATTTCATTTTAATTTAAGAAATAATAATAATTATTAAAAATATTCCTGCATTTTCCGGACCTCCTGCGGCAATTTATTTTACTAAGGTATATTTGCATTTTTGAAAAGGAATTGAAAACCATCAAAACCTCGCCATTTCAGATCTAGTGAGACATTTTGTTGCCGAGCAAAATGAGCAAAAATTTGAACACAAATATATGGCCGCACATTCTATGGCCAGTAAAGCAATTATTTGTACAGCCTGAGATGCCGAGCACAAGGAGAAGGCAGGGAGCAGACGTTGCACCTGGCACCGTTCCCCGCACCTCAGAGATCTCCAATCTGGTTATTGATGCCCCAGGCAGTTCTTACATGTATCCAAGAAGCAAGCAAATGTGCTTCAGGCAGCTTTAAGTTCCATGAAGCATCGCTCCTGCCAGCTGGTATGTAGCAACGGAGCGGAGCGTCAGTGCCTCCAGCTGGGGAGCACCGCTTGCTGTGGTGGGTTCCTGCTCATCACCCGCAGCATGGGCTGCCCTGCCAGAAGAGGTGCCAGAGCAGAAGCCAAGGTGCCCAGAAGCCGTATGATCTTAAGACAATTATTAGGCTAGTTTAAGCTTGGGTTTAGCGCAACTAAGCCAGCAGATCCTGTTCTGCTTTACATGGAATAATTATGTGTCTACTGGACCAGAGAGAAGCCAAAGGGCTGTCTATCCCAGAACTGGGCACAGGGAAGCTGAGGTTCCCCTCCCCGCACTTGCCAATACTTAGGGTGCAGTGACACGTGAAATGGAACACGGGCACGTTTTTCTGTTTTGACTCTAGTAATAAAATCCCCAAGTGCTTCCGTGACAGCAGCATTAGATTCCATAGTTTGTCCCTGTGAAATTTGGTAAGAGCTACCCAAAACATTGACTTCACATTCTTCATGTATGTGAATATAAGATCATAGTCACCTGCTATTACTCAGTCTCCTTAGAAACGAGGGACAAGCTCTTACTGTTGTCACACAGTGTATTTTTACAGTGATTTTCCAATTGCGAAAGACTCGGAAAAGGGTGGGGAGAAAATGAAATGCAAAATTAACTGGATCCTGGTTATTAGCTTACGCAGTCCCTAATGTAACTTTAGCACGTTACTTGAATGCCTCAAGAATTTTTCAAGTCAAGAATACCATTTATGTTTCTTCATGTTTATCTATATATCTTTTTTTAGCACAAACTGGAGATGCGATAAGTGTCTTTTAGTCCAATTTCTTTTACACTGCACTTGAAATAAGAACTGAAAAGCACTTTGAGAAATGTATTGAAATGCAGTAGCTTCACTACAACACCGCTGTTGTGTAATTACTGACTGTAATGCTCCTCCGTGATTTAGAACAGTCTTGGATGTAAACAGAATATATATTTTTTCCATTTAGTAGTTCAAGCAAATCAATCTGAATGCTGGACTAACGGAAAACACTCTAAACTTCTGACAAATTCCTTAGAAGATATCTTTCTAAAGGATTATGTATTCTTTATATAAGACCCTCTACACATTCATATACCATGTTCTGGAAAAAAAAATAATCAAGTGTATAGTTCTGCATTTATATGGTACACCTTAAAATAATCATGTGAATGGAAGATCCACTCCATCCTGTGCAGTCCAGAATTATTTGAGTCATCCAGCATATTCTGATATATAATCCTTGTACAAGAAACTAAGTTATCTGTCTCCACAATGTGTAGAAAAGTGACAACACATGAAAACCAGGTGTCTACCTGAGTGATGTCCATTCCAGAGTCACAGCTCAATGGCTGGGTTGATGTGAGGCCGTTCGAACCTATTATTGTTGTGATCACACCGTTCTCATCAATTTTCCGAATCATGGTACCGTCAACGAAGTAAATAAATCCGTGCTTATCCACAGTGATACCTGGACGAAGGGAAAGGGTAAAAAAGAGTGTTAGTACTGACATTATCTAGATTAAAAAGTATGAGCTTAAAATGTTTCATCTCCTCTTAGACTCTGCAAATCTGCTGATTAAAAGAAAATATGACTTTTTTTTTTCCTACCCATTACTTGAGGCTTACACAAACTGTACATGGAAAGATCATACCCATATATCAGACTTTCTTTGACTTACAGAGAAAGAGGGAAGATACGAGGAAGAAACAGAACAAACCAGCAGAGGCTTTGTTGGTAATGTAATTCTATATACACAGAATTCTATATACATAGAACTAGGTTCTTCAATAACTTTGCTTCATGTCCGTCACAAAGTTTTTTTTTTCTAAAAAACTTATCTAACAGTTGATTTTACTTCATTTTCACTTTCTTAACTCTCATGCAGAGGCAATTTTTTTTTTTTATTACTGTACTGTTCGAATGATCAGAGTGTCTGAGCAAGGAAGAAGCACCCATAGAAAGCGAGAGAGACTTTTGTCATGGTATGGGCTATACGTATACTTAGCAGGCAGAAGGAACGCCCGCGCTGCAGAATGTATTGCAGCACAGTGCTGCCCAAGACGATGGTCAGGTACTGGAACCAGCCTCATGACAACGGTGGCCTTCAGGAGGACCTAGAGGAGCTCTCCCACTTCTGGCTCTGCAATAGCTCTCGCACCACAGGAGAGATGGACCCTGAGACCAACGCGAGGGCTATGCAGAGGAGAGGTCACGGTCTTCTGTATTTCAGCGGGGAAACTGAGGAACGGAGGGCTTGCTGTCTCCCACCAGCAGTGTGTGGTACAGCCATGTCACCACTCATGCCCAGCCCTGGTCTGTCCCAGTCGAACACTTTCTCGCCAGTTCTTCCTGCATTCAATTTGTTAGACTTTTCTATATTGCACACACAGTAAAAGTAAGATCTCTTTTTTCCCTGAAATGTTGAAAATATAGCTAGAAAAGCACTTCTATTCATGTTAGATTTGTGAAATCCTTCCTACCAAAACTGCTCGATTTCTTGCTTTAAACTACTTCATAATTTCCCATTTAAAGTTGCATAACTTTGCAATTATAGCAGCTGCTGTGCACAGCCAAGCTATTTTAATAACGAATTTATGTTCTACTAGACAGAAAGGAAAGGCAGAGGACTTGAACAGATGGTTTGGACAGTGGCTTATATGGCTCTTGATTTTTGTCCCTTGCATTTAGCACAACCGAAGGCTGCATGTACTCTGAGTTTACAAAACACTTGTCTGCACGCCAGTTTAGGATCGCACACAGCAATTCCACGCGCCACTAAAAAAAAAAAAAAAAGCCCAAACTGAATTGCCTCACCTCCCAGCCCCGTTTCCTCATACTTAATTTAATTTCTGTAAATATATAGGAGCAGTTGTAGCTGGGGGCAAGGGAGAGAAAGCAGGACCGGGCGGCCCTGATGGGGCACATGCATCTCCCATGGGGCTGGGAGAAGGGGGGACGGTCTCCCCAGGCCCCTAAGTAAATCTGTACCTGGCAGCTGGAAACGTCTGGGGATTGAGTTTGAGTTACGTACACATTTGAGCGTAACATGTTTTCTCGGAGTGTTAACCCCCAGCGGCAGGGTCCCAAGACGAACCACCCATGACCACTTCTTTTCTGACAGAAAGCAGGAATAATGCCCACACCAGGTTTCCGATCGTGGCCAGGAGGTTAGTGAGGGCTCGACTCTTCCCCCCCGCCGGAGCAGGCTGACCGCTGCTGCCAGAGGGTCTCCACCCCTTACTCCAGCCAAGAGGGAGGTGGTGAAGGCCTCGCAGGGGGACAGGCTTTCGGGTATCCATCGTGTCCCCCATGCTCAGCTCCCATCCAGAGGTGCCTCTTTGCCGCAGGTGACGTTTAGGCACCTTGCAAAGGTCTGAGGGACCCATTACAAAAAAAAATGCACAGGTCTCAGCAGTTAACTTTGGTGTCTAGCACTCCTACCATGTCCAGCCGAATTGTAAAAGTGTCCAATGTTGGGGAATCCACCACTTCTCTGGGGAGATTATTCCAATTGCTGGTTGCTCGCCTTGTGAAAAATTTTCCTCTTGTGTGCAGTCAGAATCTCCCCAGGAGTAACTTGTACCCATTAACTCTCATCTTTTCCACGTGACTTCTTGTAAAAAGGGAGTCTCCATCTTCTTTGTGGCCACCCTTTAAATACTGGAACACAGTGATGAGATCTCCCCTAAGCCGCAAGGCCGAACAAACCCAGTTCTCTCAACCTTTCCTCATACTACAGGCTTCTCGGTCCTTCGGGTCATCCTGGTGGCCCTTCTCTGGACCCTCTCCAGCCTGGCCACATCTTTTTTTATATGGTGGGGACCAAAACCGAACACCATATTCCAGGTGTGGCATTGTGGAACAATATTAGATGGGATTTAATTTGCTTTCCAGTGTGGCTCAAATGAGAAACGTGGCGTGGGTGGGAAGTACAGCACGCGAGCTGTGTCTTAGGCTGCCTTTGCAGAGGGGGGTGCTGCACGGTGAGCAAGGAGCTATGCTTCTCACCTGGATCGGATCCACGCCACAGATAACACAAGGCCAGGATCTATCACTAGGGCAAGTGCATCTTCTGTTTTACGCAATTTCCCTGTGAACAGATGGCTGTGTTGGCTGCAAACCATCCATTATATAAAAATCAAAAATTATGCTGTAATGAAATAAAGCTCCTCAGCTGTGTTGCTGAATGGATTTCAAACACTGACTGTATAAGAAAACCAAAGATCCTTTAATGTTAATAGTGTACATTTTTCTCTCCACCCATTGCAGAAAGGCAGTCTATCTGCAAGGGAAGTACATATGCCAGTGCGACGGCATAAACAAGCCCATGTCTTCCGTAGTTGTACTAAAGATAATAAACTCCTGGTACTTCCTAATAAGCTGTTTTCTTCAAGTACCAGTGTATCTATGTTCAACAGTGAACTACTGCTTCCAGTGCTTACACCTGTATACTAAACCAACATGACTTTACCCCTTTGAAAAAATTGCTTGTGCATTTGAGTCTCATTGACAAATACCCTAAATAAGGCATCCATTGGAAAACAAAATATAGATTTGTGGCTAAACTGTCCCAATTTATTCATTATTAAAGTTGGATTCATTAATGCTCCTGTCACATCTTGCCTGATGCTTCACATAATCTGTACTCCAAGAGCTTATTTTTAATCCTTTTCTGACGTACAGTGTAATGCAGAATCAAATCACACGCGGCACTTCAATTGTGCTTTAATCACCGAGGAACTTGGAGAGGAAACATGCGCACGCTGACTGTAAGCAATCGCACGGACTGCAAGTAGAAACACTGCTCACTCCGTGAGTGAGTAAAAAAAGTCAGGTTTAAGTATCTTTTCTTTGCACAGAGAATGAGATGTAGTTTGTATTAGGCTCTCCACCTGATTCTGCTTTTTCAAGGAACTGCAGCACTAAACTGTATGTTCAGCTAACGCTGGTTTTGGGCACAAATGTGACCTATTGCACAAGTGACAGACTTGTCTTGCTTGGATACGAGATTCCTCATGAAACACTGATGTCTGAGTAAGGACAAAATAAACTTGTGCAAGGATTTAGTCTCGTTCCTTGACTCAGGGCTGAGCACAATCTGTTTTTCTGAGTAACACGCTCGTACCGAAGGACTGTTTTTAGTCATGTTTAGTCATTGGGACTGTCTTACACAGGACTAGATTTTGTACCTGAATGTAAAGCAGTAGCTCTCACGAACATCCATCTCCAGCAGATTTATGCGCAGACATCTTGGAACAATATTTATAACACTTAGAGGTGTTTTAATCAGTACCATTTAAATTCTGTTAACTAACATTCAAGATGAACTGCTGCTAGTGCAATCACACAGGGCTCCTAAGTATCATCACTAGAAAGACTCTGCTGAAAAAGTTTTGCTCTTTATAACTGAATCTGCACAAAATAGTAGATGGGCTGAGTACAAGCACGATAAACACAGAAGGCTGACTCTAACCTCTCCTGTTGTACGTCCTCAGGAGTGATTCTGGTTAAAGGGTGATTTCCCGTGACCGATCTGCCTTAGTGCACATACGCACACGGTTACAAACACAAATAACACTTTGAAAGCCAACTGATCACTTTTGTGTGTAGTTCTCACAGGTGTAAATTCCAAACACATATGCTTATTACACACAGGATCTTTCAGTCTAGAAATTTTGGCATTTCAGTGTTAACAGAGCCAAGCTTACAGTGCTAAAAATATGGCTTCAAAGTAATGCAGTAAATTCCCCATGAAGATATTTTCTTTTCCCCCACATCATAGCTCGTACTTGCATTCTAAGAGACTCTTTTGGGAACAAATCCTTTCTGAACACATGAAGAAAGAGCAGCTAGAGCTAGATGTTGCCCACTTCTGGAAATTCTGCTTTACACTTTTTGCTCAGCTAAAAACTTTGCAATCGAGAACTTCTAATTAAACTTCTGAAGAATTTGTAAAAGAACATCTAAAACTACTGGTGCGGACTGATAAAAGAGAACGCCACCTTCTGCTGAAGAAAAACTGTATTTAGAAGGAACTTGTGATTCTCATAAAACTTTTAATAAGAGGAATTGAATCAAATTGGTTAATTACCATTTTATGGTTGGTAAAAGGGCAAATTACATGCCATCCATCTCTAAACTTCGAAATGTCTCCGGTGCTTTTAATTAAAGCTGCCATCTAGAAACTACTAAAGCAATTTTATGCAATTAGTTATTTATAGGTTACCATAATACACTACTCAAAATATGATTCAAGTGATTTCCAGTCTGTTGCTCTGTGATCTTTGTCATCTTTACTTCATTACTGTCTCAGCACTAGCGGCAAAATATTCAGCAGTTCTTTGTCAGCTGGATCACGACTTCAGCACTTGCACTCGAGTGTTGTTCTCTTTAGGTGGATGACAGCGGGGTTGGAGCAAACAGCATTTTTAACGAGTGACTGAATGAAAATGCCCTGCTTCCAGTCTGAGACGTGATGACTGGGGTCATGCTTACTGCTGACAATGGTTAGCACAAAAGGGAGTAACTTATGCATTCAGATGAAGGTTGCAAGAAATTTAGGAAAGCTTGATGTCCAAAAAGATTACTTTAAATGTTCTACAAGATTCCCAGACTTCTGAAATCATAGGTAGCTAAGACTACTGAAGAGAAAAATAAGGAATAAATTTTGCTGAATCAAAAATGGCATGAGATGATTTTTTTGCTTGTTCTATGATGCATACATGACAATGATTTGAAGCTGCAGAGCAGCTTGGTTTGTCTACTTCTTACTTTATATATTGCTAATGAAACATCTCGCTCCATTCTGTTTTTCTTTGTGAATTGTATGAAAGCGTTGAAAAGGTCCTAGGAATGTACAGAACAGCAAAGATTCCTGAATAAACAGTACTGATCATTACCTATGACAAGGGGGTCTTGTTTTCACACAAGGCTATGTGAGGAATTTGGTCTGCGTCATGCTGAAGGTAACAGGAATCTTTCAGCCGAGCAGGAGCAGGCCCTCGGTGGGTTACTGTCATTTGACAAATGTACAGGTTTAATCTGAGCAGTTGTTCTTACGGCTTTATTTACGTTAGAAAGTATTGCTGCAGATGGTGAGCAACAAGACTGATTATTTCAGGATGTAAGCTACTGGGGCGAATGCATTTTCAAAACCATGATTATTTGGGGGTAGTATTTCCTTAGTAAAGTAATTTCAAGCAAAATGAATAAAACTACACTGCAGAACTGATGTTTAATTTTAGCTTTCATTTGTGTCGCTAGTTCACGGCCACGGGTCTGAGTGAAAAAGGTTCTTTGCTGCAGCTGTGTATCAGGTATTCTTATGCATGGGATTTACAACTTACTCCAACCTTCTACATTTCACTGGTGCTTACTTTGAGGTCACTGCATCTGCAGTGAGGTCACTGCACCGCATTCAAGTACTCTGTACTCGGTGTGCAGCTTTAATTTCTCGAGGCACTAACTGTACCCATAGCTTGCACAGACAGCGTGCGCATCTATCTTCTAGTTCTAGAGTCTGGTCTGGACCCAGGAGTCCAAAAAGCAGACACTGCAGGACCACAGATGCTTCAATCCTTGGATTTAGTGCTTGGGCTTCCAAATGTGGTAAATCACTTCTGACACTTAGGGTTCCATCACTGGAGGGACTTTGTTTTCACAAAAGTTACTTAGTTCGCGTTTCCCCCACAGTTGTCCTGTGCGAATGCTCTGAGGCTGTCACAAATATGAGGTAATTGAAATCAGATGTTCATCTAAGACACTTTTCGTAGTATATTGACTGGGAGACACCATAGCTCAGCAAAAACCGTGGTAACTTGATTGTCTCAGCCTCTCGCTGCCTCCGTCAATTAAGCTTGGAAAGTCAAACCCATTTACATGCCCAAAGGCCACTGATTTCAGAAGGGCAGGGTAGGGAAGTGTTCAATGCCTTTGAGCCAGGCATTGGCTCTGCAGTGCTACGTAGAAAAATTCCCAGGTATTTCTATTAATTTGAGTACTTCTAACTGCTGCTCCAATACCCAGTGACTAATCTAGTTAAAATCAGGACGCGATCCCTTAATGCCTTATTATAAATAGTAATTCAGATTGTTTAAATAATAGCGTTGGTGACTAGGTGTGCCGTAAATACTTTTAATCAAAAAAAATCCCCAAACCCACCAAACAGAATTTCCCACCCCAAAATTAAAATCCGTTACTTGGTAAAGTTCAAGCGATTGGAATTCAGTCAATGATTAATATCTTGTGTAGTTACTTCTTCATTTTCAATATCTTCCTGTGTAATAAATGTGTTCAGCTTGTCACAGATCTTATTTTATGTCCCCACCTTGTATCATTTCACATTCTGCTTAAGTACTTGGTCATCTATTACATGACTCATTAGTCTGAGATCTCTACAGAATTAGAGAAAGTTGCAGTAAAAATAATATATTGAAGTTCAAATTTCAACTACATCACCCATGCATGTTTAAAAGCATCTTTCAAAGTCAGCTCAATATACAATAGGGCAAGATTAATGTTCGCTAAGCCCCATCTCTAGTCCTTCACGGAGAAGTGGAAACGGACTGAACAAAGCTACATGCGGTTGTTACCTGCAGAATAAAAGTTGCGCAAAGCAGATCAAATCATAATTGATTAGTGGGACTTCATGATGTTTTCCTGTCTGGCATTTAGTTCCTGGCCACTAGGCAAAGGCAGACTTGCCAAATAAAGATAATGAGAAACAAAAGTTGATGAAAGCCTTAAATCATTAAATAATAATCTAGGATGCTCCCAAAACCTACTCACATGCCCACTGAGCCAGAAAAATTGCTGAGTTCCAAAAAGTTAAAACAGCATTTGAGGCAACTTTCATTCAGAAAAATAAACAAGAAAGAGTATTTGAATTTCCACTTATTTACATGCTTCTGAGGATGTTACCAAACAGGATTAAGTTTCACAAGTGTTACACAGTAGGTATTTCTTATCAATTTTGCAAATGGATAAACTGAGTCATATAGCTAAGCCCTTATTCAGAGTCACAAGCAGCTGGTCGCAAAAATGAGAATACAACTTTTGAGCTGTAACTAACCAAGGTCAGGTGGCCACTAAATGGAGTTCTTTCTCGGCTATTACCTTTCTACCAAGTAAGAGGTAAATTTATTTTTCATTTATAACAGGGAAAAAAAAGGAATACTCAGGACAAAAATAAGGTGGCAAATGGAAAAAAAAAAGAGCTAAAAGTTTTTCTGTATCAGCTTAAAAAATAAATGCTAATCTTGTCTGGTTATTGAGTAATGCAAATGATTATAATAATAATCTCTTGGCAATTACTTTGTCTTTATCTGCATTATAAGGGACCTATTTTTGCACTGTAAAAATCTCGGAGGTGAGAAATTAGTAGCAATTAATTCATGTTTGTGATCAAATATTATATAACATTGTGTTGCTTTGTGTTCAAGTATTTCGAAACGTGGATAAGATGTTGGTGAGTCTGTGGACTCACCAAAACTTTTGTCAGTGTTTCCTGCCTCCTAGAAAAAATATTTTTGTGTGTAATGTTTGCATGTTATTTCAGTAGAAATGTGACATCTTCTGACTTGACCATTATTGCAATAACAAGCAAAATAAGTGATCCAAAAGAATCTCTAAAACTGTATTTAAGTATGTGAGACTTGTAGGTTTCTGAAATAATAGGTCTATGGGCAGCAGGCGAGGACTTCCGACTGCTTTCCCAGGTTATTCAACCTCTTGCAGTTTAGAGGAAAAGGAGGACAGGCCCTTCTAAGGCCCTTGTGATAATACACAGCTAATTGTTCAGGCTGTGCTGGTGACTACAGCGTGATGCTGCATTTTGCTCGGCCCTGTACAAAAAGGGCACGTGGCAGTCCAGAGTTCCTTGAGATTAAAATCCAAAAACATAACAAATCTGACAATTTCAAACTGGTGTAATTTAGAGTAGGTGCATAAATCAAAAGCAGCTGGGAGCCATTACCTGAATTTGCCAATATAGGAGCCATTGTCTACTAACAATTAATTTTTCAGTATTTGCTGGCTGCCCCAGAACTCACGAATTGTACTTTTATTCCTCTTAATTTCTTCATGACTAGAACCTTCTGTTAAGGAAGCCAGCTATGCATGTTTTTTTTTAAAGTAAATAGAATAATACAAATTTTCACCAACATACTTCCCCACCCAGAAAACAGGATGGAACAACTAATTGTATTGTAATTAGATATATTCAATTGTAATCAGCAATAAAACATCGATCATTTTCCTGCTAAAGGATCTGAAAACCTTTGTTTTCTACTATTTTTAGAATTGATTCATTACATTAATTAGCTGCCCAAAGATTAACATTTATTTGTACTTACCTCACACTTTCCTTCTATCATTAAAGACATGTTAAAGTCAGTCTATAATTACAATGTGTCTCTTGCTAAGCCTTAGAACAGGATTATTTGCTTGTCTTAGAGACGTTTCTGCCTGGATATACATTCTAATTTGCTATTGATATACAACCTTCCTTTATTAGCTCACGAAAAATAATCAAACCCCTTCCTTAGAGCTAGTCATTAGGAGAGAGCGGTGTGCTACGGGGGGAACGTGCTAAAAGCCCACTCAGGGCTCTGCCACGGGAGCTGCTGAGTGCCCTTTGTTCCAGGGATTGCGGTGGGAGTTGAGGGTGATCGGCTGCTTTAGAGCACCAAATCCAGAGACTTTATCCCAGTTCTAACGCACGCTGCAAGGGGATTAATTGTGGCGCTGGCGGGGATTCAAGGTTTCGCACGCATTTTGCCTTGTGACAATACAGGACATGTTCCGATGGGAAAGCTGCAGCAAAACGCTTATTTCACGTGCAGCAGGTGAGATGCTCATAGTTTGCAAAGTGCATTTAATGAGGACAGACAAACTAGAGGTCCAAATAAACTTGATTTTGCTGGCTGTCTGATCTGAACAGCCCTGACTTAATGTGTATGAGTAAGCTCCATTAACATTACAAGAATCACCTGAATGCATAAAATATAAAAACCCCATGACTTTGCAACCATATTATTAGCTTAAAAGTTAAATATAATTAAATGCTGCCACCTTGCAATAGAAAGGTAATAAAAGAGGAGTGTTGCCACACAAGGAGACAGTATTTCCAAGGATGCTAGCTGGAGCCTGTTGCTCATGCTACTCCTTCGTAAAGGACTGGTTGTATTAAAAACAGGAGTGAGCTTTATGAAATGATTTGGCTTGCTTATAGTTGGTTAAATCATCACCTCAGACCCATTTTTGTACATCCAGTTACATCTGAGTTTCTAACTAACGGAAGGAAAAGAGAGATGACCAACACCGCGTACTTCAGGTACGCTCTTTTCTTACCTCTTGGACTGTTGAGAGATGCCTCGGATGCTTTTCCACCATCTCCACAGTGACTCTGGTCAAATGGAAGGCACTGATCACCTGTTCCTGCCACCACATCTGCATTTTTGGCCAGATCCTTTGTTTCAGTGAGAGATTTTGCTTTGTAGACTTTTCTGGTGTTGGTATCTGACAAGTAAAGGGATTCTGACACTGGATCGACGGCTAAGTAATATTTATGTGCAGGGCTTGTACTAAAACAGAAGAGAAGAGCATCAAAGTTAAATTGGTTTTCTTTTTAATCTCTGTTCATGGTAGCGTAACATTTCTGAAGACATCTGTTCAACGACTCGGAGATGAGAGAGGCATAAGTGAGACCAGGTTTAACGTAGCTCACACCAGCACCGCTGCTGAGAAGGAAGGAATCGGTACTAGCTGTGGCGCCTGACCAGGTAGCCAGTTTATGCAGAGAGTGGCACTGGTGGAGTTAGACTGTCCATTAGTACCAAGCCACCCAGTATAAAGCTAACTGGAGTGACTTCAGCTTAGTTATAATTATTACTATCAAAAGCAAGGTCCTTTTTCTATACCGGCTAAGTCCTAGAACTCTTGGCATTGTCTACCACTTGCAGCAAAGTGAATCACAGACTGTTCTGCATGGGCACAAATACCCACTCTTGGTTATTTTTATCTATTTCTAAACCTTAGGAAATATGAAGGTGTGAAATATGGTGCCTTAATTCATGCCGACTGCATTGTCAGGAGCAAGGCAGAAGGCCAAGTTCTGTCAGTGCAACTAGGCATGAATTAATGCACCATAATTCATGCACTGAAGTGCCTTATTGAGATTATAAAATGTTATTTAAAAAATATTTACATATGTTAATTAAATGGTGAGGATCATAAATTCTAATCGGAGAACTGGGCTGTATCTTATTAACCAACAAGACTTTTTGTTTCTTTCTGACTGGAAAGTTAATTTCCAGTTTGAGGAACTTGTCTAAGCACATGGCACACCATGCCAGTGTCCTGAGCCTGGTGAGACTGCAGTGTAGTCCTGATTATAAAATAAAATCAAAATCCAGATAGGTGTAGATCCTTGAAATCACACAGTCGGTAACTGAGATGGTGGAAGACAGGCACAGGCAGAGTGGTGGCCGATGCCTGGCAGAGTGTTTTGGTGCTCAGGCAGTATTTTTATCACTGCCATGTTTCTCCTGGGGGAGGAGGAGATTTCTGACAAGTCAGCTGGACAAGACACTGACCTGTCCACATCCCCTGTAACTCTACGTGGGACTTCCCTATCTGCTCTGCAGATTAAAGAGACTGTCAAATTTTTGGATTTTTTCTTTTTTTTAAGAGGTATTTTATCATAGAATCATAGAGTGGTTTGGGTTGGAAGGGACCTCAGAGATCATCCAGTTCCAACCCCCCTGCTGCGGGCAGGGACACCTCCCACTAGACCGGTTGCCCAGGTTGTTTTATTAACATTGCTACAATTAACTAACACTTAAGATTGCTGCAACCAGGTTAGGAAACGAGTTACTCCTCTGTTCATGGTGGGTTTGACAACGCTCGGCATACAGCTCCTTCTGCAGGGTTTTCACGCCACAGCAAACCAGGAAAGGAAGAATCTAGATAAAATAGAACTGAAGAACTGGCAGAAGCTCCAGGACAGATACGTAATGTCTGAGATGTTACTGACTTATTTTACTGACTCGATTTCAGATTGATGGAGCCTCTTTAAATTTGAAGTTTTCGCTTGGCTGAGACAGATATTAAGCTTTATTAATAATTATAAGCTTTATTAATTATCTGTTAGACAGTTCTACCTTACTGAGCTATGTTGCATAACAATGTAAAAATTACTTACCAATATCTTTTATTTTAGCAATCTACTGAGTACTCTATATATTACTAAGAAACTTCTAACAGATGATCAGCTGAAGTCTTATTTCCATAAGTGATAAGGTTAATGCTGTACCATAATAAATGTGGTAGAGCTTGGGCTTATTTCTCTCAATTCTCGTTCTCCATCCAAAAAGGGACAGAAACTATTCAGTGTCTTTGAGGGCTGGGCCACAAGCTAGACTAGCTGAAAGCTGACCTTAGTCATAAACATCTGTAAAACACAGAAGGGGGAAATACAAGGAAAGAGGTATTCCCACAGTTGGGGAACAGATGTGAAACCCAGTCCAAGGAAACACAGGGAATGAGAGGACAGTGATAGGATGGAACATGAGTAAGAGGATAAGCTAAAAGCAATTAATGCTGAATTATGCATCACCAGTATTACAAAATTTTGTTTGTTGAAAACATTAAGAATCATTTGTGCTCTCTGGAGTGAGCACAGAACAGACTGGCCAGCCAAAAAGATGACTTTTTAATAAAATACTTCTGTGGAAAAAGTTGCAAGGAGAATTCTAGATGTTAAATAAACATATCGTTCATCAGGCAGAAACTGCAGAGAGCCAGGGGTCATTATATACTCTCCTTGTAGACACATTTTCTGTCATCCTTGTCATTACATTTAATAGTCCGGCTGTTAGAAAACTCTTGATGTTTATGCTTAAAGCCTTGCATACTAAAATGTTTAAATTAAAAAAGTGTAAGTAAAAAATGGAACAAAATGACATACTTGCTATCTTTGCAGAAGTTTGCAATCAGCTCTAAACCTGAGTTTATTTAAATTAGCTTATTAAAAACTGTATCAGGTAGACTAGGATTTAGAATGAATCGTCCACAACGAGTTATTACTACCCTATAGTCAAATTTTTCCCTGTTTTCCAGTTATTAAACAGCTTTGTTATTTCTTATTAAAATCTTCATGACAAGAAAAACAAATGGGATAAGTTGCTTTAAAACAGTAAGAAATAAGATCAGTGGCCTCTGTTTACTGCTCACCAAACTCTGTCCCTTTTTACACCGTATTTTCTTTGTCCTGGTAAAAAGAACCCCTTTCCCTAAAAATTCCCTACTCTTTTGGAGACTAAAAGTCGTTGAGGAACTGGATTTTGAAGCCTTTTCCTGCTTGGACTGTCATGAGTCTCTGACACCTTTTAGTTGTTACTTCCACATGTTTCTTTGAGCATTCTGGGAATTTCCACCGTGACTGTGGCCTTCACAGCCTCAAGAGAACGGCATGCAGCGGGGCTGCTGAGTTCTCCCCTACAACCTCAAAGACTACATTAACTTCAAGAGATTTCCTCCAATTTTCCACAGATTTCACTCGGACAGAATACTGACAGAGGCAATGATTATTGTAATTATTACAGCTGGGTACTTGAGTATTGTCACAATGTGATTTAATTAAGGTTTAAGTTCATCTCAAGAAACTAATACTAGTGAGCAGGTATTAAAAAAATTCTACTTTACAAAAGAAACCCTTGAATTTAAAACCTGATTCATGTTCTGAATGCATTAGAGTAAATATGGTCCATTTGTTTCTTTTCTTGAGTTTACAAAGATACCGGTCAGTTTAGCACGCAGGCAAATGGAAATAATCTTCAGTGAAAAACCAGAACCTTGCACTTACCAACTAGGAATTATTCTTTCTTTTTGCGTTTTCATTGTAAAATATATGAGATGTGACATCTCTGGAAGTAGGCTGGCAAATAATCTATAATACTCAATAGCATTTTTGTGGCTAAAGCGAGTAATTTCGACCAGTACTCATCCTGCAAACACACGTTTGGTCCACACTCCGCTTCCTACCGTGCCATGAAGTTACCAGCTTTGGTCGTACCAGCGCTGGCTTATTTATCTCATTGAAGTACTGAAATGCCACGAAGTTTGTTTCTAAGGATACGGAGTGCCTTGCTATCTCTTGCTAGCCTGCAACGTCATTTCTGCAGCTGGATTGCATAACCAGCTCCCTCGCCGTCTGCCGCAGAAGCCTAACGCGCAACGTTCGCTCTTTGAAAGAAATCCCTACATCGCAATGCCGAAACGCGAACTGGAAAGGGAGGGAGCCACTTGCTTTTGCTTTAGCTGGAGAAGCAAGGGCTGAGCTGTGCCGGTGTCCTCAGTTGTGGGGTCTGCCGTGCACCCTCGGTAACTGGCAGAATTTAAAGTTTGTGGTATCCTACAACTGCTAAAGCACAGTCCTCTTTGTGACTCTGAAGCCTTTTTATTTATTTCTTTGTTGCTAGAGCTCCAGTTTTCTTGGCTGGCTGTATCTATGATCATTCAAAGAGCATGTGAAATGCATACGACAGCTATGAAATGCATTCCCAGCGTTCGGGTTTAAATGTCTCCATCTCGGCTTGGTGATCAGCAAACTGATTTTTTAGAGGGAGACTTCATTCCTTCTAAGGGAACAAATCAAACCTACTTTACTATAAACAAAGGTGAATTTGATTAACATTTCTCCTTATTAAATTCAGAGTGTGTCTCTATATCCAGACTTCTAAAAGGACTTTCGTAAGACTCGAACATGGTTCACATACTACTGTTAGTGTGTTTTACTTACCTGTGCCTTGTGTCTCTATTCCTAGTAAGACAGAGCGGTT